GGGGGGGGGGGGGGGGGGGGGGGGGGGGCCATGGGAGTCTGAAACTCCCACTTCCCATACCCTTCTCTCACGCTTGCCGTACCTTTATCTCCCAACTCCCATCGTTGTCCATCTTGCTCAGCAGTCCTCTGTAAATAAGGGGACTCAAAACAAGTCCTGGTCATCTAGCGGTGCAATCCTTAGGCATTTCCTTTGTCTTTAGCCTTGCTCCCCTTAATTACTCATGTCATTTGACAGCTTAAGCAATGGCATTTCATGAGCTATGATGTAACCACCATAGCCCAAGGGCAAATTTTCGTTTTTCCTTTGGCCCAGAAGTCTCAAAATTAACTAAATGTAAGTCAAATAACATTTTAGATTCTTGTTTTTGAAAGTATTAATAAATTAATATTAAGTGATTCTGGCCTTCTTAGAACTCCCCCTTCCTGCCCTTTCATCTGCCTTCTCCCACTCTCTATTCTCCTGTGTTCCTCCCTGCCCTCCCCCCCATCCCCACAGAGAACATAAGGATCTTTATTACTGATGTTTATCTCCTTTTCTGACAGTCTGTATTTTATATTTTCAGAAAACAGCAGGGTTCAGCCCCATATGTTATAGAGGTTGGGGGTTCTTCATATGTGGGCATGTTTGGTTACCTGACAGCATTCCAGGAAATGATGAATCAGGTGATTTATTTTTTAAGGTTTTGTCATAATATTAATTATTATATTAAGTAATTCATTATCAACTCATTAATTCTAAGTAAAAGAAAAACCCTAAATAACCCTTTTAATATGGCCAACTTATAACTACAGCCAGCCTTTTGTTGCCCAATGATGGGTGAATGAACGCAGTTCCGCTCTACCTCTTACACCATATTATATGTAATGCACAAATTTTGGCAGGCGCAGCAGTGAAAAGCATCTTCATATAGAAGAGACACTACCTTTGTTTACTCTTAACCCTTGGTTAGATTTAAAGTTCTGTCTTTTGAACAACTCACCACATGGCCAGATCATTGACAAATTTTCCCAGCAACTTTCAAGGCTTACAATGTATTTCTCTTACTGTAGATCACTTAGTCTTTTTTAACTGTGTTGTAGTAATCTAAAAGGATTGCTGGCATATACCATGTTTTAGAATATCTTGGAGAATTTTGATGACATTGTAATGACAGTGGGCAGTGGAGGAAGTGCAGCAGGAATTGCCATTGCTAATTACCTAACAGGATCAAAACTCAAGTGAGTTGTATGTGTCATTTCAAAAATTATCCATACCCCCTCCCTATACAAGGTTTTTTAGTTCGAACTCCCTCCCCCTCAGAAAATTACAGTTCAGCTTCATATTTTTCTTTTTTAATTTATAACCCACTACACCTATGGGTGGTGGGTAGTGGTGGCATGGTTAAATGTGATTTTTGGCTTATATCTTCAGTCTGCAAATATGTGCCTGACGCAATTTGTCATGATCTTGTGAATACCTGTACAGGGCTGAAATAAAGGCCACATGCAAAAATTCAGCTAATTTGGAGCAAAAAAAGAAACCAAAATTGACATTTGTCTAATATCCCCTTCTATGACTAGCTTCTTCAATTGCTGTTTTGAACAGGAAATATCCATACCCCCCTCTTTATAAGGGTTTTTGGCGTGATCTTCCCTAACTCCTCTGAAAATTCTTACTTTTCTTTAAAATACTGGCTTTCGTTTATGATCCACCACCCCTTGGAATTTGCAGTGACCTTCCATGATTTGGGTATGGATATATTTTGGAACTATACAATCTTACTAGTTAATAGTGTATAGCAGAGGCTGATAATTTGGGTTGATTGTGAAGGACTATCATATTATTGTTTGGCTCTTAGTGGCTAGTAGTTTCAGATAGAACAAAATAGTTCAATCTGCAGTTTATTTAAAATCCCACGTGTCTACATGTAGTCTTCCTCAGGAGAGGCAGTTTTGGTTCACGAGCGTAGGGAGCAGGTGAAAATGAATCATATTTTGTGCTCACATTTTTGTGAGTCCTCTCACAGGTGCACTTTGCTCATCAACTCATATCTCACGGCTTTGCCTTTGTTTGTGCTGCAGTGCATGAAATTCTGCTTGCAGGCTAACGATATACATCTCATATCTACCATGAGGGTTGCTCTTTATACAACCCAGGCATATTGTTTTCATAAATTCCCAGATCTGCTTCCCATGCAAATTTTGCCCATAAGGGTAGTAAATTATTCTATCAGAAACATTCTCAGATTATCCCTTCATCCTTTACTCCCATCAGCCCTCTATCCCATTCAGAAGGAAGATTAGAGGCTGAGAATCTTGTTTCAGGCATGCTGCTCGTTCACTCATATGTTCAGTCTGCAAATATGTGCCTGAGTGACCCCTGGAGGTATACTCCCTTACATGTATAAGGGCTATATAGGTATGTGCGGCCCCAAAGGGTATGGTAGGTTTTTTTTCTAGTTTAGCTTAGTTTGTTATTGATTGTGAAGCCACACGTATGTTGTGACTGATTTCTTAATAAAGACTACTACTACTGCTACTACTGCTGCTGCTGCTGCTGCTGCTATGGTTTTCCAGCTGTTTTGGTCATAAACAGGGTATTGATATTGGCCATTTTGGTCATAAGTAGGGTATGGTTTTTGCACTCTAGTCTTCAACTGGGTATGTTTTTAGAAGAAGCTATTTTTTCACCATTATTGATAAGACCATCAACAAAAGCCCTTCATAAATTATGTATAGGGTAACTGTGCCAGCGACAACTGTCATAAACTGGCCATCAAACTTTTGGTCAGGTCATAAATAGGGTAGGGAAAATCACAGATTTTGGTCATAAATAGGGTAAGGGTTTGGGAAGCAGGCGGCACATCCACACAAAATTTTCTGGGAGTACCCCCCATCCCCAGGCAGTGACGCAATTGATCTTGTGTGTACCTGTACAGGTGCCATGCTGTGAATGTGTATGATAATGACGCATATGTTTACCACAAAATAAATGAAGATCTTAGGGCAGGAGGACTTGATGTTCAAGCAGAAGATATCATCGATATCATTGGAGGATACTTTGTGCCGGGATATGGTATATCCTCTAACGAAGACCTTGGTGAGTGACTTCTAATTCTGTTAATTAAAATGAATTCAAGGTCATAATGTAATTGTAAAAATAACTAATTAAAATACAAACTCATCATATTGAAGCATTTTGCCCAATCTCATTCATTTACCCTGGATGTTGCCAAAAATGTTATTAATGGATTAATAATTAATCACTCTTACGTAGCAAGCAGGATTTTTAATATGTTTATATTAGAGCAGTTTTCATTTGAGTGTCAAAAAGTAATTGGCTTAATTTCCATCACCACACTGCACAATGGCTTTAAAACAAATCAGGTTACTGTTCATCCAATCAGACATAAAACCAAAACCAATTGTGGCTCACTTGCATATATGTTTTCCTGCATTTTGCAATTTGTAATTACTAAGTTGAGTTTTGATTGGTTCTTTGGATTGTGTCCCCTTTGGGATTGACCAGAGTGATTTAATTATTTCACTCACTACAACTTAACTTCTCGCTTACATGTAGTGCAAAAATTGTACTTCAAAATATTTCAAAGGGACCATGAGTGTTTGAAATTGAACACCCACAAGTAGAACCATTAGTCATTTTAATGTCATGTTTATAGTACTACTGAAAATGTTTTATGATTGTTAGAAAAAATTATGGAAATCTCCAGCACTACAGGAGTATTGGTTGACCCAGTGTACAACTTTAAGGCAGTCAAAGGACTGCTAAGCGAGATGACAAACAATCCCAGCAGATTTAAAGGAAGAAGAATTCTCTATATTCACACTGGTAGGTAAAATTTCGTAGCCTATGTAAAAGAAGCATTGCCCCTTCCCAATTATTTTTGGGGGGGCAGAGTGGCTGAAAGATATACCAGCTGTACATACACAGATGCTCTATGGGCTAGTCACGCAATCTTTCCTCTCTCTCGATAAGGAGTGTGTGACCAGTCTTCAGAATGTCTTCATAGGAGGCTAGCAAAGTTGGCACAAGTGTTTTGTTTCAGCGTTGGTGTATCTCACAAGAGTCTGCCAAGAGAAAAGGAGTAGTTGATCATATGTGAAATCCAAATGTTCAGCTGTTTAGGCTAGTCAACTGTATTTAATTGTGTTAATCTGGTGGTTTGAGTGTTTCAACCTCATCTCTTTGTAGGAGGAGTGTTTGGTTTATTTGACGGCAGAATGGATTCGTTAATCACAAGCTCAGAATCGTCAAATGGCATCCACAGGTGGAGAGACATCAATGATGCACCGCCGTGCTAAAATGAACTTTTTGTAAATGTGAGAAATCAAAAAAGGGAAGAAGTCAAACCATATCAGTTATCTTGACTAATAATCTTTTTTATGTATGTGTGATGCATACAGTGTTCATATTGATTGAGCTTACTCAGCTCCTAGGCGCAACACATATAAATAAATTGTTGATTAATTGATTGATTGATTGATTTGTGGCAATAGAATATGACAGGGTATTTACCTTTGTACTTGGCTGCTCCAGGCATTTACATGTCTCTAAAAGCTGATCACAGGCTCATCATTTGACCGAGATCTTATGAATAAATGAAATCTCACTTAGGAGTGAGTAATTTTAAAGGTTGCACAGGAAAATTGTACATGCTTCTCACCTTAAACTGTTGTGTGTTGTATAAAGACGACTGGGAATGAGCCAGATGCTGCCAGGGCTTGTCAGTAAGCCTGTATGATTTTTCTTAGTGAAAGGTACATGATTATATTTTCCAACTTTTTGCCAGCTTTTTAAAAATGTTCTTGCAACTAAAGGTAGCATTTTTTTCTTGGTAGACTGTTCAGGGACTGCTGTTAGGAGTAACTGTGAAGATATTGTGAAGTGCCAATAAAATTAATATTAATAATTGTTACATGACAGATAAGTGAAAAGACATGATGTACAGGACAGTAAATTTTCTTGTGCTTGTTTGCTGTCCAATTTGAATTAGACCATGTAGCAGTGGAGGTGGGGTGGCCTCATGGTGTAGGGTGTTAGACTCCGGATCAAGCGGTCCAGGTTTGAGCACTGGCCGGGGATATTGTGTTGTGTTCTTGGGCAAGACACTTTACTCTCACAGTGCCTCTCTCCACTCAGGTGTATAAATTGGTACTGGCAAATTTAATGCTGTGGTGGGTGGGGGTGACCCTGTGATGGACTTGCTAACATCTGATCCAAGGAGAATACATGCATTCCTTTTTGCATCTAGATAATGATTAGGTCCTCTTTTGCTTAGACTGTTGTGCGTGACCCAAAAGAAACCTGCAGGAAAAAAATGGCCATGAGACATTTCACATGGCCTTTTTTCCTCACAGTTTATTTAAGGTTATGCTCAAGACAGACTAAGCAAAAGAGGGACTAGTCTACGCATAGTCTCACATGTAGTTGCTTCCTGCTACAGAAGACGGTGATAAGTGCTGGCCTGATGGGCCACTTAGCTTGTGCACAGACTTAAATTTTACCCTTATGTCAGTGTGCACAGGAATGTATTGATGACCCTGACACCATCACACCATGGTGGGACAGCTTGGGTGACCAGCGAGCAGTGTCCCCTTTAACTATTGCAATAACCAAACTTCGACTTTTTTAACTTATTTAATTCACTGGTGGAACCAAAAAATAATAACACAATCACTATTACTTTAACTTACTACAAACACAAGTGCTGGCCCCAATGCTTTTAGTTAAACTGACTAATCAGGGGAAAGTATCAGAAAACTACATCCTGAAAATTGCTACTCGTACAAAAAACAAAAGAAATGGATCAGTTTCAGTTGTAACACCCAACACTACAAATTTCAGGCTTCCCTCTGTTTTAAGGGAGAGCAGAACTTTTCATTTTCAGTCAGTTAACAAAACCCAATTCTGGTGACTGAAAATTCTGTCACAGTTCCTGAGAATGTCGTTATGTCAACTAAAGACAATCATAAGTAGCAGGGCAAACTTTTAATGTTGAATACTGCTCTAAACTTCTTTTGTAGTAGTACTTTCCCATGTACAGACTGCGCAAAACATAACACTTAGTCACAGTACTGCTACTACAACCACACTAACGTCACCAGATGTTTTAGAGATGTCAGTGTCACACTTGTGTCTCTTTCGACCACGTGGAGTGGTAAAGCCCTTGCCACACTGGTCGCACTTGTACGGCATGTTCCCATGAAATGACCTGTTATGATGTAACAGACTATCTCTGTGCGTAAAACTTACATCACAGTCAGCACAGCTGTAGGGCTTCACACCACTGTGTTTCCTAAAGTGTTTCTTAAAATTTGAAGAGGAGTAAAAACGTTTGTCACATTGACTACATGGAAAGGGTCTTTCACCACTATGAATCCTAAGATGCTGTTTCAAACTCGATGGGTCAGACAGATATTTGCCACACTGGTTGCATTGGTAGGCCTTTCCATCAGTGTGCACAGCTACACGATGTCGGTCCAGACTTGACAATGTTTTGTAGCTTTTGCTGCACTGAGTGCATTTGTGGGCTCTCTCGCCAGTATGAATTCTGACATGCACTTTCACATTTGCCAAGTACTTGAAACACTTTCCACATTGAAGGCATTTGTAGGGCCTTACATCACTGTGAACTGGAAGGTGTTGATCCAAACTTGATAATGTTCTATAGCTTTTACTGCAATGAGTGCATTTGTAGGGCTTCTCACAGGAGTAAATCCTCATATGTGCTTTCATACTTGCCAAGTACTTGAAACCTTTTCCACATTGAGGGCATTTGTAGGGCTTTACATCACTGTGAACCGGACGGTGTTGATCCAAACTTGATAGTGTTTTAAAGCTTTTGCTGCACTGATTGCACTTGTAGGGTTTCTCACGAGTGTGAATCCTCAAATGTACTTTCCTATTTGGCAAGTACTTGAAACCTTTTCCACATTGAGGGCATTTGTAGGGTTTTGCATCACTGTGTACAGCTACATGGTGTCGGTCCAGACTTGATAATATTCTAAAGCATTTGCTGCACTGAGTGCATTTGTAAGGTTTCTCACCAGTGTGAATCCTAAAAAAATGCTTTTTCATATCTGGCAAGTAAATGAAATCTTTTCCACATGCAGGGCATTTGTAGGGCACTGCGCCACCGTCAACTGCATGGTGTTGATCTGAGGTTGACACAGTGCTGGTCTGAGTGCATCTATAGAGTGACTCCTGGCTGTGAGTCTTCAAATGTAGTTTAAAACTTCCTGAGTAAGTGAAACTTTTCTGGCACTGGGTGCATTGATATTGCTTTATACCAGTGTGTTCTTCACAGTGTCGGTCCAGTCTTGATTGTTTGCTAAAGGATCTTTTGCACTGAGTGCATTTGTATGGTAACTCACCACTGTGAGTCTTCAGATGTACATTTAAATATGATGAGTGCTTGAAACGTTCCTCACAATAAGGGCATTTGCAGGGTTTGTCTTTGCTATGACTTGTTAGATGTCTTTGTAAATTTGATGTCTGTGAAAAACATTTGCCACATTCAGTACATTGATAACGAGGACTTGCGACACGTTTTTCACAAGATTTGCCACCTGCATGCATCTCCAGGTGTTTACTTAATTGTGACGAGAGCCTAAAAGACCTCTCACATTGAGTGCACTGGTAAGGCATCTCACCACTGTGTAACCTTCGATGACTAGCCAAATTTGTTGACGAGGCAAAACTTTTTCCACATTGAGTACAATGGTACGGTCTGACCCCACTGTGAGACCTATGGTGTCTTTTCAAATGCTCCAATTTGCTGAAACTTTTGTCGCATTGAGAACACTGGAAAAGAAGATTGCCGTCAGCATGCACCTCCATGTGCTTTTGTAGTTCTGATGAGAGCCAAAACAATCTTGCGCATTGAGTGCACTTAAAAGACTTTTCATAGCCATGTACCTTCAGGTGTCTGTCCAAATTTGATGACGAGCCAAAACATTTTTTACAATGGGTACATATGTAGGGTCTTTCACCACTGTGAACCTTCCAGTGTTTTCGCAAATATCCCAATTTCTTGAAACTTTTCTCACATTGATCACACTTGTAAGGCTCCTTGTCACTGTGAAGCTGCAGATGTGATTTTAGCAATGAGTTGGACCTGAAACTTTTGCCACACACAGTGCATGGGAACATCTGTTTATCAGTTTTAGTCTCACTGCCGATGTTACTCATGTGTCATGTATTCTCACTTGCCTCTTGGTGGCTTTTTACAAAACACAAAAAACACACAGTTAGTGCAACAGACTGGAAATGATACCTACAAGCTGCAACCTACACCTAAATTTAAAACCTACATATTCACAAAACACAAGTGTGTGTACAAATGTCATGAACCGCAGAAGTCGTGTAGGCCTGTCAACCCATTTTACTCACAAACCATACCCTATTTCAGACCAAAATGGCCAAAATCTATACCCTATTTCAGGCTACAATGACTAAAAAACCATACCCTTTGGGGCCAACATACCTACACAGCCCATGTAAGGGAGTACTTCTTCCCCCCCCTCCCCCATCCGGGCCATGCATGTACCCACAATTTATCTGGGTTCTTTATGTCTATATCTGGGCTCACTTACTGCTACATGTAAACATATTTTGGAATTTGATTTTCATCCAACATTGTGTTTCTGTGAAGGCATCTTATATCTTCAAATATTACGCCTCAAACTGTAAAACCTCTTTAACTAAAGCTTGATAGATAGATTGATTGATTGATTGACTCTTGCATGTAAACTCAAGTAAAACCCATAGGAAAGCCAGCTGGGTGTACAGAATTGAGATGCATTCAGTTATTTATATTTTAACTTCAGAATGACTAATATTTTTAATTATTATCCACCTGCAGCGAATACCGTCTAAATAACAGTACAAATATACAGCAATATTGTACAGTCATTTGTACAGTAGAAAACCTGTTTGCCGTAGAGGGAGGTGCATGCACGCAAAACTGTCACACTCTCCCTCTTTTCATTGATAATTTTTTGACTACAGCAGTTGGATAATAAATATCTTATTAGATGTTTTGGTGTGTAGTATCGCATTATATTGTACTCGTTGTTTATATTTTTGATGGGCTCATCAAAATACGGCACAACTCGTAAAAATATACAGCGATACTACACATTAACTGCCAAGTCACTAGTGGAGGGAAGGTGCCTATGAAGCGTGGGGGCTGCAACAATAGTCACATCCCCAAGGCGCTAGAACACCCGACTGGCCTGCCCAACCCGCAACCAAGCCACGAGCCCTCTGTGCATGGCCCCCTACAGGCACCCATCACACTCAAGCCAAACGCTTAACAAACACTAACAGACGGCCTGAATGTTAGTGATAGTGAGATAAATAAAGAGAGAAAGAAAACATTTTTGGGTCTCCACCCTGGGGCATTCGAACATGTTTGTCCTGTCTCCCCCCAGGAATGCTAAATGCCGGGGGGGGGGGGCAGGGGGCATGCAGAGCTGAATTTATACTGAGGCAAAATGAAAATTTGTACGTAAGAACCATCCGTGAACAACAATCAAACACTATTGGACACTAGATCTCTAAAGTGGTGCTTATTTAGAGAGGCTTACATCCCTCAGTCATTCCATATTCTTTATGTAAAAGTCCCACTTTCACCTCAACACTTCAACTCTCAAATGCAAAATGGCGTCCTATATGGTAGGTAAACAATACAATCTTACCAAAGTTCACAACTGTCCGAATAAAATAAATCTTGACGTTCAGTTATGTTTTATAGAAATCATACGATTATTTGTTACAAACTATCAAAGATTGACCATGCCATGAAAGCAACGAGTTGTAAATGCATACGAAAACAGATGAAGCTTGTAGTGCTATCTCGAAACAACAAGTAGTTCGTCGATCGCGTGAAAGCAAAAACACGAGAACAGTACACTACAGCAAGCAAATGAAGTTTTACAGATTCTTTCACACTTTACTAATCAATTTAGAGTGTCAAGAGTTCTGGTACTTACCAAAAATCGACAGAAAAGCAAGCGAAACAAATCCTTCAATGAAGCCGTCCCTCTACCACGCGCGTTCAACACCTGATCACATGACGCAGGAAGCCCTGAAATGTGTGACGCGTGATAACGTGACATTTCTATCAGAGAGTAAATGGTAACACAATTTCATTTTGGCTCGACCGACTGGAAAATTTTAAAGTAATTAACGGAACGTCTTGAAAAGGTAGTCCAAAATTTCCAATCGAAATATCCGAGATGAAAATTTCCCCGTCTTGGAATTATGATCTGGTCGAACTTTTGTTAAATTGGGTTTTTTGAGTAAATGACAAATGCCCAATCCGATCGGAACTTTATACCGTCAGCCATTTTTGACTCATTTTTGCTTACCATAATTTGCACAAACCATTGACGAGCCGGTTTCTCCTTGTAAATGGTAAATATAAACAACCCGCGAGAACCTTCACCCTCCACGGGCGTTTCCCCTTTTTAGCAAACGGTTCGAGATCGTGGTTTTTCACCCAACGAAAGCTAGTAATATATATGATAGATTTAGCCAAGCCTAAAAACTGAGTTCTGGATCGGTTGTTCAAAGAGGGTGGTAAAATAAATTGGTCCCTTCACAATTCCCTGAAAATAAAATCGGCATTTCACGCTTCACGAAAGAAAATTGAGATTTTTTGACACGAACTTTCGTAACTTGTGATATTTGAAAAGTTACGCCCAAAGCACAGCCTTGTTCTGTTGTTAGATGCCTTTATCATCCGTCCACTGCTTGTTCTGCGCGCAGCAAAACGAAAACGTACCGTGTTCCTTGTTCTGTGTGTAACCAAGGGCCGGCACTACTTTCCTCCACCGCTTCATCGTCCTCCTCCGTCGCTGTCGCAAGAGTCTTCATCATATTCAGAAAGCTGATCAGCTCCAGAATCCCTTGATGAAATCGCACCTTCTCTCCTTTATTTCTTGAAAAGTCATTTTGATGTTCCTTTTCTAGTGCAAACTCTAGCCGTTCTCCCTGGGGGAGTGCAGTCTGATACATGTTGAGAGGAAGAGTTGCAGCCTCGTACTTAGTTGTTTCTTGTCGGACGGTGCGTTGCATAAAGGGCGCAAATGATGGAAGAACAAGAACACAAAGGTCAAGCACTAAAGGAGTGATTGTCCTGTCACGGTCACGCAATATTGTTAATTACTGTCGAAAATAATAGAAGACACAAGCAAAATCACGGTTCATGGTGAATTAAATACTTCTTTCTCATTTCACGGAGAATTATTTCGGAAAATCACGGTTCACGTCTACTAATGAAATCAAGATTCACGAGAAAAAAACAAGCTATTTCACATTTCACCGGAAAAAATTAGGTCATTCACGAATCACGAAAATACCTTTTACTACCTTCTTCAAAGCCCGATTAAGATAACCAAGGATAAGCAAGAATTTTGACTTGAATTTTGTAACTTCACGGTGAGGTTTTCCGTTTATGTTGTTTGGCCTCCTGTTTTGAGTTTGAATAATCTCAAGGTCCCCAAAATACGGACAGAAAATATCTTGAAAAGGGAGCTTTCCGACGACGATGGCGCCACGATAATCATGTGATTTCCTTGAATGAGTTTAACTCAAACAAAAATGACCGTTTATTGTTGCGTTTTCAATTTTCTTCTGATGAAAACAGATGAAAGCACGACTGCTTGGAAGCCCGGTGGAACACGAACCCCAGGTTTTTTTTATTATTTCTCCAATACGTATACGTCATCATACGGCTCCGAGTTCAATTTGGAGCTAATTTGCACGAGTGAGGTTTTCAAAAAGCTGTAATTTCACGAGTCGCTTCGGCGAGTGCAATTTCAGCTTTTTGAAAAACTTACAAGTGCAAATTAATTCCAAATTAAACGAGAAAAACCACATGATTACTTATTAGTAATGTCAACATGAAAACATTCGCGCGGAGGAAGTGCCGGAAGATCTTTCTTGAAGTCATTTACGATGTGTAATTTGCATTGGTGTTACAATTTTTGCCCTGGCGTTACACTTGAACTGTACTGCTCTCAGCCAATCAGAATCGAGTAAATTTTTTAATGTATATTATTACTACAGTTAGAAAACTTTTCTCTGTAATTAGCGGTGCCTATTCAGATAGTTATGTGCTTGCTATCTTTGTCACACTGGAATTCGATCATGTGATTCACGTCGCCTACTTGCTAGATTGCCATTTTACAGGTATGTGCTTAGTCACCTGGCCTATGAATGCAAGTGAGGCTGGAGGTGACCTTGCTTTCATACAGACCTCTCTGCTTTTCTTATTTTAATTCAAACTAGTTGACATAAGAATAACTTGATTTACACGACTAAAGCAGTGAAGTCTGTATCAAAACGAGCGCACCTCCAGCCTTGCTGCCAGTCAAAGGCCAGGTCACTGAGCAAACAACTGTAAATGGTCTATTGATGGTTTTGTTTCAGCCATTTAATAGACACTTGTTGTTTTGTTATTTTCAAGCTAAATATGTAATGCCACCATTCAATTCCAAAAGGAAACACGAAAAATTAGTCAGTGCAGGTCGTGTTCACCAGAGTACGTTGAACCTGGTCATTTCACGTTATTGTTTTGGAGAGGACGGCAAAGAAATGTACAAAGATTTATAACACACGTGCACAGCCATTGTTCTACTCATTAAACCTTTTGTTTAATGGCGTTTTCGTTGCCGTTGGCGTCGTGGTCTGCTTAAGCTCCCTGTTTGCTTCGCCAAGGCTGACGGATTTAGACCAGGCGAAAGACAAACCAAGAAGAGATAACTTTGTATAGAAGGCATAGAAAGGAGATATCCTCAAAAGACGCCGTCATGGTAGCAAAGATATCAGTGACACCACCTATTGTTATTAATATGCCAACCAGAGAACTATTGGCTGGTGAAACAAAGAATTCTTTTGTTTGACGTTTTGAACATTTAAATGACAAAAAAAATGTTTGAAAAAAAATATATTTCCTATAGGAAAAGAACCTCAGTGACCAAGCATTGAATCCTTTGGTTTCAACAGGCAAATAGCGCAGTTTGGCTTTGCAGTTATGATGTAAGATAACGATTGAAATAGTACTTTGGAGAGATTTTAATATTTTTTCCTCCCTAGATTTTGCATTTGTATCTCTCCAATGCCCTTACATTGACGCTGAGATCAGATGAATGAACAAACAAGGTACGAAATCGACATTTATTACGTTGTTGTTGGGTTCGTTTATCATGAATATGTAAATTAACTAAGAATAATTCTCCTCACGTGAAATTTATATATTTGAATTGAACTGCGGAATAAAAATTTGTTAATGTATAAATCTTTATTCCGCAGTTCAAATTATACTCGACTGATCGGATCTTGCCTGATCCAAACCTCGTATCAAATAATTTCGCTCGCTCGTGCGCGATTGATCTAAACGCGTCACGTGACTAAATATGCCCCAGCTAAAACTGAGGAATATTCAAGTGATATTCTCCAATTTTCAAAAATTGCCCTTGTTCAAGAAATATTTCAAGGATAACATAAACGTAAACATAATAGCCTCCATTTGGCGCGAAAAAAGTTCGCGATATTTGTCCTAACCTTGGACATTATTTGTTCCTCGAAGTTCACAGTTTCCCTCGAGCTACGTTCTCGGAAAACTGTTCGCTTCTCAAAACAGATAGTGCCTGCGGACAAATATCCGAGCGTATTTTCCAGGAAAATGGAGGCTATTGTTTCTACACAACAGGGAAACTAGTGAACACACCATACATGAGATTTGAATGAGACTTCCAGTTTCTTCATAAAACCTCACAACAGGGCGAGCGAAAAACGACAGGTGTGTAACCAGACAGGATCCCGTAAAATATTTCCACTGCTATTGAAATCATTGTTAGCGGGGAAATAATCAGAAAGTCAATTAACTTCAGTGAAGATTGATTCATAATGTAAACCTAATCTAGCTTTTTCGATTTCATCAAACAAAAGCAATAAGACAAGGAAAGCAGCATTAAACAGCTTCATGAGGTGTCTTGGATGAAAACACGGTCAAATCAACCATGAAATTCAACTTTTCTCGACCTTTTAACAACACTGAAAAGAACAACTCTCACTCTGTTCAATTTGAACCAGATGAAAATTTTGACCAAGCTATGGCTTTCAGGATCGCAGTCAGCGTCGTCAATGCTTTTTCCTCCTTCACAGCGCTGTTAGGAAACTGTGTGATTCTAGTGACAATTTGGAAGACATCTTCTTTACATTCAGCGGCGAACATCCTACTGACCAGTCTTGCGGTATCGGACCTCGCTGTTGGCTTGCTCATCCAGCCCTTATTCGTTATAACAGTCATTCAAAGTGGAGCATCTACTTTCATTCTAGTTTTTAGTATTCTAGTGATTTTTTTCTATTGTGCGTCTTTTCTCACGGTTACAGCGATTTCAATCGATCGTTTGCTTGTCCTTCAGTTACACTTGAGATATCATGCAGTAGTGACAACATTTCGTGTCAATGGGGTCGTTATTTTTATTTGGATATTCTCCGGTGTTAGTACGCTTGTGTTACATTTATCCTCAACAATTTACATTGTCTCACTTGTTATGGTTATCAGCCTTCTTGCTGGAAACTTCGTTGTTTATTTTAAAATTTACCTCATCGCCCATCGCCATCAAAGACAGATTCAGTATCAACATCAACATCAGCGACAGGCGAGCAATGAAAACATTTTTCGCGTAACTAGGTTTAAGAAAACTGCTCTTAACACTTTTCTCGTGTATATTTTACTTCTCTGTTGTTACATGCCTTACAGTTTTGTTTCTCTATACGGTGGTTCCCCAATAGTTGGTTTCGCAACTGTCACACTAGTGTTCCTCAATTCGTCTCTAAACCCTTTGTTGTACTGTTGGCGAGATCGCGAAATTCGCACAGCCGTGAAACAACTGTTTTGCCGTTGATGCATTTTATTTCAGGTTTGGACTTTCCTGCTGACAATCTCAGTGCCTTTTGATATGTTTTCTTTTTACCCTGACAATAATTCACTGTCGGGGAAAGTTATTTTTGATTTCTTATCGCGACGATCATGATTTGCACGCCAAATAAACGTCTGGAAGTTTAGCATTTCTTTCACCTTTTTGAATTATTAAAATAGGCACAAGATGTGTAACTGTGGCTACTCCTGTCTTATACGCAAAGAGGTGGTCCAAAAGTTTCATGCCGCGCCGAGTCGTTTAAATGTCTGTTTGTCTTGGCAAGTATTAGTACTTTTAACGTAAGCTAAGAGAATTATTGATTTCTAAATACAAGACCCGAGCGCGTTGACACCATTGTAATTCAGATAAAAGATCTAAACAGTCAAGAACCGCTAAACGCGGGAAGTGTAAGTTATAATTTGTAATGGCAATGAATAAAATTGTAAACTGTAAATATGCACTGCATTCATAAAAAGTCAGTTCTTACACCGTTCAATCAGTGACTATATATATTGCTCCGGATATACTGACGGATGTTCTGTCAGGAAGCAAATTAACTTGGAAGAAAGATAATTAATCTTATGTGAAATCAGAATAAGGTAAAGAGGGAACTTATGAAAATGTTAATAGTTTTGAATAAATACCTAGAACTGCTTTCCCGTCTAGTATATTCTCTTTTAATGAATGTTGATGTTATTTCTTTTGATTAGTGGACAATTTATAACACCCATGCATGTAATATGTAATATAATGTTTAACAGTGGGATTCCCATCATATGAGAAAGGAAAATGACAAGCTGGTGTACATGCGCTGCACAAAATCTCAAAAGAACACTTATTTTCTGAAAAGGTAAATATTTCATCTCCCATTGACATCCTGTTGTTGGCAATTATGAAATAAATTACTAATAATATAAAACTTTATTAAAAAGTTCAAGAGGACAGCAACTAACTTAGCAATCTGATCAGTTCTTTGAATGCAAGAAAGCCCGAATCAGCTATGGAGGTTTTCAACTCAACTCAGCCTCAAAATAATTTTGGCAAGAACAACTATGGTAGAATTTTGTTTGAACTCAGTTATTCTAAGCAAGATCTAAATGACTCGATTGCAATCTGCGTAATCCACGCTATTCTCTGCTTTACGGCGTTGCTCGGAAACACTGCCATTGTGATAACAATTTGGAAGACATCCTCTTTGCATTCGGCGACGAATATCTTACTGGCAAGTCTTGCTATCTCAGACCTTGCTGTTGGATTGCTTGAAGAGCCATTGTTTATAGCATACTTGCTCAGCGGAACATATAGTGTTGGCCTACTTTTTCACGTTTCCGCCTCCATTTTTTGTTCCAGTTCTTTTTTCACTATTACAGCAATTGC